GAATCCATCTAACATACTGATTCTCATTTCATAACACTGGAGATACTGACACACTGTCTCTGCTAACCCTAGGAGGTTACTCAGGGAAGATAACATAGCCTACTGAACGTTCTACCTTTTCCAAGACCCCGCTTTAAGGAGGGTCTGGAGACAGTTGTGGCAAGGGGATCACTTATGTTGTGTGATCACTGAGGATGGGGAAGGGGATAAAGAAGGCCCAGAGCTGATGCACAGACACAGGGGCTTTCTCATGGATATCCCTGTGCCTCAGTATCCGCTGGGTTCTAGAGCAGAAACCTAGCCCATGCCATGGTGGATGCCAACTGCTCCCCCTCCACATAGTCTCATTTAGAGAAAAAATGTGAGGAGATCGTTAGTTTTCCTTTATTTCCCACAGACCCCCAATCCCTGCCAGTATGCCCTGAATGTGGTGCTAGATATTACTGTGGTATCTCCAGGTGAATTCTCACTTGCACAAGGTCATACAAGAAGTCTAAGGCAAAGCAAAGTGCAGAACCCAGATTTTCTAGCTTCAAGTTCCCCGTACAACCACTATATCATACATGTTCAGGAGTATGTATACTTCTTAATGGATCATTGCCATGGGGAACGTTGATGAGTAACTCTCGTGTTTCTGCAAACTTTCATCTAGCAAAGCAAAACCAATAGTGAAATGATCTAACAGAAACAGACCAGTGACTCCACATTTCTTCTTTTTGTTAGGTATCCTATGCTGCCTGGAATTTTATATATATGATGCTTTGTCTATTTTTGACTTCCAAAGCTACTAAAAGAAACTGAAGAAAGTGTGCAGTAGCACAATCTGTAACTTAATACCATTGATTGCTAGAGTTAATGGTGGAAGATCACTTGTAGGTTCTGATCTATTCTTAGGTACCTCTCTGCACTGGCCAGGGAAATCATCTTTGCTCCTTTCTAGCATAAACTATGTTTAAGCATAGTTTGCTAAATAACATGCTTTTCCTGGGCAGTGCAGACAGGTGCATTCAAATCCAGGAGGGCAGCAAAAGAGAGTTTAGGACTTGCTTTGTAGAGAAAGCACTGTGAGGAATGAATTGTCAGGAGGATAGGTTTTGTGGTTTCAATTGATTAGGTGTAGAAATTTAGGGAAGTTAACTATAAACTAAAAACAATCTGAAAATAGTTACAGGTTAGAAGCATTAAATAACTGGATGAAGGCATGGGTATTAAGTGTTAGTAATATAGATCCGACAAAACGCTAGGTCTGAGTGAGAATATCATTTGGGCTAATTGGCTAGAGGTAGGCAGGTAGGTAGGTAGAGGTGTGTGCGTGAGAGAGAGACACACCACTCATCTCCCCATTTTATCTGTTTAGATTGTAAGCTTTTGGGGGCAGGGACCTGCCTTATAACTGTCTATACCTGTAAAGCATCTAGCACATTTATAGGCACTATAGAAATAAACAATAATGCAATTGTTTTAAAACTGCAGGACAGCACTGAATGGTTTACACACAGTGTATAGTAAACTTTAATTCCTCAAAAGCTCTCTGAAAACAAATAACCCTTTCTTTGATCTAAAAACTTTTGGCAGTCTCAGTTGTTCTTTCATCTCTGGATGCAAGAGGGAGAATGGAACTATTAAAAAAAAAAAAAAACCACAAAAAAAAATCCTCATCAGAACTGGCAAAGCTTTCTTCCTCTCCACTTTGTAGTTATCCCTGCTTGCTGCCCTGATGTTAGGAGAATTACATAAAGCAGATCTCCTCAGAGCCAATAACAATTACTTAAAAGGGACACTGTCCAGGCTGCTCGCTCCAAAACTTGACCTACTTTTCCCCCTTCTCTGTATTTGTAAAATGCATTTAATTCTCTCTCTGTGTTTTTTCTCAAACAAATGTTTCAATGTTCTTTTAAAGACTCAGCACTGACAAGCAACCCCATAGGAACAGTATGTGCCCATCTAAGGGAGGGAAAGGAATATCAGAAAGGAAACAAGTTTCAGTTTCACGCTTTCAATAAAGAGGCCAGATTGCCCCCCAAGATCTATTTACAGAAGTTACTCCTCCATCCCTTTAAGCACAGCTCTCACTCTTTGGTTTTAGAGAGGCACTAAACCTCTTCATCCACCAAGAACAAATGGTACATTAACTTTTCCGCAGCATCTCTCCATAGCTTGTCCAACCAGGACTTCTGTGGAAATGGTTCTGCCTTTATACAGATCCCCTGGGATCTACACATTCTGGAAAGTTGTAGCACCTCCTTTCCTCTGGAGGGGTAGGGGGGAAATGGGACCTTTCCTATGCCAATGGAAAAATGTGGGGAACTCTTCTCCTCAGGGCCCCTTTCTCTGGGCTTTTCCCACAGGAGTGTGCAACAAATTTTATTTTTTTAATGATGAAAATCCCTTGACAATTTCCTTCTAGAGCACCATGACTGCTTCCCCTCTAAAACACAGGGGACCTGAATCACTTTGTGCCATGCAAGCTGCAACTAAAGAGAACCTCTGAGCATAAATTGCAAACTCACCAGGGTGCACAGGGTTCACTGGTTTCAATTCAGTTCAATTCAACAGATGTATGTAGTGCTATGAATCTGTAGGAAGGGGCTTGATTTTGTATAATGGGCCTGTACAGTCCTCATTTGGGATGACTTGCAGATCTTACCCATAGCTTCACTCCTTGTGAGTGATGAGGGAACCCTGTAATCACAGTGTCTGGAGTTCACTTGCCATTACATGGAATTAGCTAGGAAAGTCACCAAAATTCAATTTGAAGATTAATACATGTAATACTCCTTTAGATTATTAAGTAGAGTTAAAGAGGTGCTACAACTTTCTAATACTGATTCCTTTTACCAAATGGGTAACAGCTATCTTTGTTTCAAATAAAAGGAAAAAGAACCACTTTGTCTGTGCACGATATACTTACAAATATTTGACAGCATATTCTGTCTTCATTACACCTTAGAACTCACTGTGAGAGAAAATAGTTTCCCAATATGAACAATTATGGTCATAAGGGAAAATATTTGTATCAAATGTTTATTGTGATGAACACAAAGTATTTGTCCTTAACTTAATATTCTACTGGTATATATAAACACAGAGACCTTAAAGGCTATGATAACACATATAAAATAAGTCGTGGCAGGATGGATGTGATAAATAAGCCCTGTAGTAGTCTAGTCTAATTTAATCAAAGATACTAAACTTGATTTACATGACATTTTATTACACTTTATTCATTGCTCTTCCCTGAGTACAAAGGCAAGACTGTTACAATCTATGGGAAAATAGCTATACTTGGTATACAGAACACATCACTGCCTACTGTAGATTTTACCAGTGCCAATTTTGCTCAACAAAAGAGCAACACAAAACTGTTAATAAAGACTCTCTATACTGAACAAATCCTGCAGACAATGCAAAATGTAGGGGCAGTTATACAGTACTTAACAGCATGGAACCATTTTGGTGTCCTAATTATTTTTCAAGCAGTAATGTACGGGGAACAAAGGTGACATGAATAGTCACATAGAGTCTATTCATATGAAATAAATCATCCATGGAGTGAGCTTTCTGATCACATTTGAGCCTGAAATGCAATTTGATAAATAAGTAAGATAACAGAAAGCTCAACAGTTTCTTGCTGAAGTTTCCACTGGGAAGCAGGTGTTCAGTTGATCAGTCAGCCTATAGAAAAGTCTAAACAAGGGAATGAAATATTATCATCTTCAAGCAGCAGATGTCTGTAAATGCAACTGCCAGATTGGCAAATCTGATTAACTTCATGGAGTTCACATATAAAGCAATGTACAGCAACATAAAATGTAAAATTCCAAACTAGCGTGAGAAACAAATGTAATGAAGAAGCTACTAATACAATCTAACTGAACAAACATTAGTCAGAATACCAGAGAGTTTAGTGAAGGTGACAAAAACCACAAAGAAAACTACATTATTGATACAAGCAATAAGGTACAATAATTCAAGCTAGTAAAATGCTTTCACGTTTTCATTTCACTTGCCATCTGCAGACATCCATAGCTTTCTAGTTATTCTGTATGAATAATTTCTATAATATAAACACATTCCCAAGGACTCTGCTTCTTCACTGTACTCTTCATGCAATAATAGTTTAAGTAGCTTATTCTCTCTTGATATATACTCATAGGATCTACAAACACTAGCAGGAGTCATTGCATTTATCAAAGGGGAGCCCAGGCACCTAAATATATCTAATCTCATGAAAAAAAAGTTATTAAACTAGTAGAATTTAATTTTCCATAATGATCAAAATATTTAAATTTAAGAAAGATGGAACTACATTTTCAAAACATTGCACCTGATTCGGTTGTGCAAATCCTGTAACCATGTACATAATTTGCAAATGAACTCACAATTACATTTCAGCCCAATAACATTTGGGAATGCAAAACCTATTGTGCCCACAAAAAAATGAAAAAGATGCGTGCATGGTCCTGGTACCATGGCCATCTATTTAAGAATGCAATAGCATTTGCAACATAATTAGGGCATACCTTTCATCCACATATGTAGTCTCCTCTTTAACTCACATCTTTTGTTGTTTGAGGCTTGGAGAGAAGTACATGTTGCCTTCCTACTCCTCCAATGTGGTCCAAAGGTGAGTACAATTTAAAATAATCCTAGTTTTGTGGTTATTCAAGTCTCAAATTGCATGCTTAGCATATGCTCTTAGAAAATCTCACCCATTATGTTAAAGAGAAAAAAAACTTCCTTTAGTCTCATGTCCGGAAATATTATGATATTGAAATGGTGTTTTTTTTTAACCAGTCTGTCACACAAGCAGAATACAGTTGTCACACCTATGATACATTTCAACTGTCCCATAAAATCAGAACAATTGGTGCAATAAACATAAAGCAAGAAAGGGGGGGAAATGACTCAGAGTTTATAACTGTATGACACAGTAAAAAACAAAACCAAAAACCCCAAACCACCATCAACAACAAAAAATGTTACATTTCCACACTTACGGCTATCATAGCATATATTGCCGAGGGCACGACCTGTCTGAAGCAACACTTCCTGGTCTTTGCAGTTTAAGAGCTGCACCAGTGGAGGGATCAACCCAGCATCCACACATGAGTTCCGCATAAATTCTGCAAACAACAGAGAGATATTTAATTAAAGTCGAGTTATATTGGTTTGATCTTTTCTAGTTAACATAAAAATCCGTCTTTGGCAAAAGGCTTTTCTTTCCAGATTATGCAGGCACTGCAGCTGCCTCACTCAATGAGAATAAATGTATGTCTGGAAAAACAATCCAGTTATCAAAAAGGATTCTAGACAAGATGGTCAACTTCAGAATTCTGGCTACGGTTTTTCCATTGCTCATTGATTCATCAGAAATCAAGTGTTTTAATTGAGTTTCATGGAAACTACTTTAACATTCTCCAAATAATCACTGAGCATGTTTTGAGAGTAATAAACACAAGGAAAAAAGAACAGAATATTGGCAACATTTGTTCTCCACGTTTGCAAATTAAACAAAATGTAAACTCCCTCTATTAAGCAGATTTAAGACTGCAGCATTCCTACTCCAAAATGAACAGCCGTATCTGTTTTACTAGATTATCTAAATTAAATATAAGCAGAAATGGAAGCTAAATTTCCAAGCACCTGAAAAGCGGTTGCTACAAAAGATAAATGCAGGGAACTAACACTGAGTAGCAAGCTGGGTACTGGATATCTCTACAGTAGGTCTAGGAAAGCAGGGGATTAGAGAAGCTTAAGAGGCCAAACTTTTCACAGTCCAAATGGCCCCACAATGGGGGGAAAACCAGATGATCCAACCAGTGACAGATTCTCTTACCCTGGTACCCCTTCTCCTGCCATGTCCCCTGCTCACAGGAGGCCAGACTATAATCTCATTTACACCACTGTAAATCAGGAGTAATTCCATTGGAGTCAATGGAATTACACTGATGTCAGTGAGATAAGAATTGGTCCTAGGAGTTGGGTTGCATAGGATACACACCCCATTTGCAGGGCTCCTGCAAATTCAGTTCCTTTCCTTGTACAACAGAACTACAATGGTTCTGCTTTCATGCAGGAGTCCCTGGCTAGACTGGGGTCTGGATTTACCTATAAACAACTGAGAAATGTATGCACCAGCTATCTATGTTTACTAATCTTGCAATATCTTTTTTTCCTACGAAAATGACATTAGTGCAGATTTAACCTGTCCTTATGTCCTTACAGACTTTGAGTGTCATGTATAGATAAACAGACTTGTATATGTCAGGTGGAAGACCAATGGCCAGCACAAAAAAACCCTAAAACACAATTTGTTAAAGTTGTAAATGAATGCTATGCTAAGATGAGTGCTAGGAGTCTAACGTCAGCACAGTGCACTGTCATGTACAGGATCCGAGATCACATCCGTCAGTCCCTTACAGTTATCTATCTTTTCTTGCTTTTGCTATTTCTCATGCCATTTTTATTCATTTCTCTTTTTTCCTCCTTCAGTCTCCCACTTTCATTTTCATCCCAGTTTTTCTTTATTGGGCCTATTATTTTCTTTCCCCTTCCTCTGCTTCTCCCTTGGGTAGATCCTCCCTCTCTCTTCTCCTTTCTATTATATACCCCCATCCTCTCTCCTTCTCAACTTCCCTCCCCCCACATCTGTTTTACCTCCACAAAACCAGTCACCATCTCCTCTCCACTGAAGGGCAGGTTTTCTCTCCTAGTTCCACACATTGTGTTTGGGGGTGGGAGGAATAGTATCTCATTCTTCACCCTTTCCTACAGAAGAGGAGTAGATTTTATTGTCACTCCCCACTCACGTGAGAAGGGAAGACAAGCAGAATTCAGGGCCCCCTAGCTGTAGTGAGGAATAGACTTCACTTCAACTGAACAGATGTAGTGAGGAGTGGGGTGGAAGGAGCTGCTGGGCAGGGAGCAGTACTGCTGGTGTGCAACCCCACTAGAAGATGAAGCAGGTCCCCTGGAGGCCTTCAATCACATTAAAATACCTAACAGCACAGGGCTGACGTGTTACATAGTTGACCAGAGACCTCTTACATCGACCTAATTATGTCGGCATACACATTACAGTCTTGTTCCCCCTGACGTTGGCTGTCTTGTCAATTTCACGGCTCCATGCTGGCTGCCCCCGGCTCCCAGCCAGGCTGCTGCCCAGAGGCTCCCCGCGCACAGAGGCAAGAAGCCCCAGGTGGCTACACCCCATTCCTGGCTGGGAGTGAGGAGGTGAGAGCCCATGGGGGCAGCTGGGGTCCTGGCGGGGAGCTGAGAGCCCCCACGCCACCTCTCTTCAGTTAGTGGAAGTGCTCCTGGTGAGGATGCACACCGCCAACAGAAGGAGGGTAGTATGGACATCGGCGGTGGCTGTAAGTTGACCTAACATAGGTCAACTTAGGTTTGTAGTGTAGACGGCCCCTGAGTATGAAGATCCCGGCAGTTGAAACCAAGCAGGTCAGCTTTATAGTTAGTATCTTCTAGGGAGGTAAGTGAGTACGGTTATTGTGCAATGCCCAATTCCACAAACCTTTCTGAAAAAATATTTTCAGTAAATTGCATCTTGAGGTAAAGCATAGCAGTTGTGAAATCCATAAGGAGTGCATACATGTGCCCCTTTGAAACACTGATTTTATGATTGCAGAGGAGGAGATCAAAAGCTCATTCTGGAGCTCTCATACCACAGTTGACTTTACTACTGAACAGGAAGAAAGAGCTCCCCTGGGAGCTCTAGTCATTGACCAGGACTCCACTGTGCTGGGCGCTGCACAAAAACACAAGACAAAAAGATGGTTCCTGCCCCTCAGAACTTAGAATCTAATATAAGACAAGAGACCACAGATGGATACAGACAGGTAGATGGAGAAGTACAAGGAAACAATGAGACAATATTGGTCAGCATGATATGAAGTGGTATCAGCACACCAGCATCTGAACTGCTGTCAAGTTTTTTGTAGGCATCACAGCAAAGGAGAGTTTTAAGGAGGGATTTGAAGGAGGATAATGAGGTAGCTTTGTAGATGTTTACGGGGACCTTCTCCCCAGTGTGAGCGGTAGAATAAGAGAGGGTATGAAAGTTCTTGATTGAAAATTTAATAAATGTCTGGCATCATAGGCTGATCAAAGGTGAGCTTTGACTGCTCAATAGCAAATGAGGGACAATACGTAGGAGGGAGGCTGAGTCTGAAGGTCCTTAAAAGTGAAGACAAGCAGCTTATGTTTGATAGGAAAGGGGTGACGTGGTCAAAGTGAGGGTCTAAGAGAATAGTTTTTGCAGCAGCATTCTGACTGGATATGAGTGGGGAAAGACTGTGATATGATGACAGCCTGGATAAGAGTTTTAGCTGTGTGGAAGGACAGGAGAGGCCATATCTTCGAGACATTATGCAGAAAGAAACAGCAAGACTTGGATACAGCCTGGATGTGAGGACCTAGAGAGAGGTACAAGTCAGAGATGACACCTGGGTTATGGGCCTGAGTCTGAGGCAGGATAGTGGTGTTGGAGAAAGCAGGTGATAGCCGGGGCTTGGTGGGAAAGATTAAGAGCTCTATTTTATCCAAGTTGATCTTGAGCTCATGGCAAGACATCCACAACAAGATGTCAGACGACAGGCTGAGATTTTAGCTTGGACAGGAGACAGGTCAGTCGCAGAGAGGCCGATCTGTGAGACATCAGCATAGAGCTGGTAGCTGAATTTGTGTTCGCAGATGAGACCACCCAGGGACAAGGTGCAGAGGGAGAAGAGTAGAGGGCCAAAGGCTGAGTCTTGTGGAACCCTCATAGAAAGCTGGAGGGGGGGGTTGAGGAGGATCCTCCAAAGGACACAATGAAGGAAAAATTAGAGAGATAAGAGAGTCCTGGAAACCAAGGAAGGACAAGAGCTCACGAAGAGCATGGCTGATGGCATCAAGGGTAACTGACAGGTCAAGGAGGGTGAAGACGGAGTTCTGGGCTTTGGCTAGAAAGAGGCCATTGGAGACTTTGGTGAGAGAGGTTTCAGTTGAACGCATGGGATGTAAGCAAACTGGAGAGGGTCTAGGACTGGGGGAGAGGACTCCAGACAGTGAATGTAAACTGTGAGTTCAATGAGCTTAGAGAAGAAAGGGAGGAAGGAGATGGAGCTGTAATTGTAGAGGCAAGTGAGGTTGAGAGTAGATGGGAGAACTAAAGCATGCTTGCATTGTGAGGGAAAAGAGCCAGAGGAGAATGAGAGAGTAAGGGATGGGATGTGAGTGGGATGAGAAAGATCAGGAGATGGGATGGGGTCAGTGGGCTCAATGGAGTATTTAGAGGAGAAAAGCAGATAAGAAACTTGTGTGTCTGTGACAGAGGAGAAAGAGGAGAGAGTTGTAGGAAAGAGGGAAAGGAAGGAAAATTGAGGCAGGGGGGAACTCATACTGTATTTTGTCAACTATTACACCACTATAAATTTTTCAGTTAACATATTAAAGGCAGAAAAGGTATGCAATAGGGTTTGGTGGATTTATCTATATGGTTTGGAACATTTTTATTTTGGGAAATAATTTTGCAATATAGTTAGATTGCTATATGCAGATTTTTGGAGGCTTAAACTATTTACAGATTAGGTAATATTTAGATAATTTTTCAATCTCTCAAGGTACAAAATAGGGTATATATTTGCCCTTTTTTAATGCGGTCTCTGAACCTTCAATGTCATATTAACACAAAGCAGCAGAAATTATAGGAATTACGGTTGTGGAGTTTAAAAGGATGGTATATACAGATTGTGACAAACTGGGGAAATGTTTGTATTATTTGAGTATTATGTATGACTCAGTTTCCTTGTTCAATTTTGTATTGATGCCTACCTGAATACATAGCGTTAACTCAAAGGAGGCTGTAAAGGGGTTGTTAGAGAACCCAGGAAAGGTAAAACAATGACAGGTAAAACAGCTTCTCAGGTACTCAGCTTCAACGGAGTTAAGATAACAATGACTGGGCCATCAGTTGGGGAAAGAAATTACTTTCCTGGCTCCAGCCAAGCTAGAATATTCTACTACTCCCAAGGCTAAGCCTAGGATCATTGGGCACCACACAGCTCAAAGACCCTAGAAAAGGGGAGGGTTTTTTTGTGTGAGCTGAGAGACCAGGATGCATCAGTGAAAAGGCTGACAGTCAGACAGACACAGAGATAGGAAGCCCAATGCTTCATTACAGGTTGTTTCTGCATGCCAGAGAGGTGAGTTAGCCAAGATGAGGAGAAACTTATCAAGGTGTAAGTAGTATGCATGTGAGTAGGCCTTTCATTGTGTTTGGGGGGTTGTTTGTTTTGCTCTACCTGCTTGGCAGGTTTGAGTGATGAGTAAATCATGTTTTGTTTTGAAGAGGCTGTATCACTGCAAACACACCTGTCACGGGCTCTAGGAGAAAAAGGGCTTGCAGGTTCCAAATGCAAATAGTCATGGTTTCCTGGTCTAAGTGTGGGCGAATTGCAGAATTCAATCCCAGGAGAGGTAGCGGCCCAAGGCCTGACATCTGTCGAGGTGCATTCAGTGAGACCCTGAGAAGGGGCAGCAGTAACTGTGATACAGATTGTAACTGGTATATATCCAGATAACAACAGCATGCTTAGAATATATTAGATCTAATTGACAGCTTTAATAAAATAAATTGGGAAAATTTGATTGTATACAGCACATTTTTTTCTAAATGGAATTTTAACTGAGCTGAAAATAACTTAAATGTTTGGGATTACATATACCACAGAAAATGTAACAATTTGGTTAAACTTGCTATGGATCCTGACATTAGTCAAATACAATAAAGAGTGACTTGGACAGATGACAGCTTCATCTTTCCATATGGAGAAAAGCAAACTTTGAGCCAGATTTATTTTATTTCTCTTCCAAAGTATAAACATTAAAAGAATGCTAACCATTACAATGCAATTTGGGCAAAACAAGCAAATCAACAACCTGTCTCCACACAAGAAACCAGTTCATCAAATTGTTAATTCCCCACTGAGCTCCAGAAAAAGCTGGATCTGAAAGAGCCTATCATCTACTAGAAGTCTTCTTCTAGCCTCACACATCAGATCCGGTCACGGGGAAGCTATGCAGGGACTGGGACTGCTGACTCCTTCAGTACCTGGATTAAATGTATCCAGATAGGGCCACTGCCAATCTTTACCTATTCCCCTGGTCCCACCACCATCCATGATCCAACTCAGAGGGTAGAGAATGGACTGTGTTGAGTCAGCTCCCTGCAGCAACTTCCCTTCCAAAGGAAAAATAGAAGAGGGAGATGGACTCACAATCCAGTGTTTTCCCTAAAGAGGAATCTGTGTGAGAGATCTGCAGAAGGAAAATCAGCTGCCAGGACCCCATGTGGGCAGCAAATGAGAAACATCCTTCCCTCCTCTACTCAGCCCCCTCCGAAGGATGGGATGATTTGCAGTCTATAGCTTCTCACCAGTGAACCTCCTTGGATGGGAGTAGAGCAATTCAGGGGCTGAGAGAGGTCAATTGCATCTCCTTTTCTATTCCTTCTAGAGAGTCCTGGCAGTGGCTCCTGCCTGCAGATCTCCAGCACTCACTCCACTTCCTCCCCAGCTGAGGGAGTCCACAGGGTTACACAGAGCAAGGTGCCTTGTCCATCCAGATGCATATATTTGTATTTAAATAACAATATAAAATTCTATAATGGCCTGGCTAAATAATGTGCTTGAGTATTATGTATGACTCAGTTTCGTAGATCTGTCACTTCTTGCACCATCTTTGATACAAAAAATCATTATAAAAAGTTTCCCATGCGTACACTACAAATCGAACAGCACTGAGTTTAAGTGGGGCTGAAAGAATGTGGGGGGGCTTGCATGGGCCCTCTGCTCTGGATCAATTTCAACCATGTTGGAATGTTTAGAGCCCATGAACTATTCTTTTTAAAGAAAAAATAATTTTAGAAGAATTTCTAGATTATTTTTTAAATATATATATGTTGTATGGCACCTACCACAAAGATCTCTGATCCTGAGTAAGGGCCTTTGGCTGCTACTGTAGCACAAATAATTATCTCTATTTTCAGACTGATCCTACTATTTTGTCACAGGGCCTGACAGGGGTAATAATGTTGTCGCTGGTCCCAGCCCTAAGAGGTAATTCGGTTGTCCATTTACCACACTTGTACAATCTATTGTGGTAACTGTGTACACAAACATTTCTGTACATGCATTCCTGAAAATCTTTAAAAGCCTTAATATTTTTTTTTGCTTAACAAAAATACACAATAGATTTTTAAAAATTACATATAGCACAAAAGTAAAGACTGAAAACAAATGCTGTTCTGATGTATTATCAAGGGGATAAATGCACTCTAAACAAATCTAGTGGCAACAAAATATTGACAAGACAAAAACAGAAAGGGTGAAAGAGAGACAGATGAAAAATCTCTAATCTACAAAATGAAAACATAAATGAAATAAAACATACTGACAAGTGAGGTGCAAAACTGAAGATGTTCCAGCAGAAAAGTTCTTGTGGAAAACCTCACCATTTTTGGCTACTTCTGCTATGATGTTAGCTACTTTTGCCGTGCAGGAAGACTGTGGAGTCAACAGACTTGCAAACACCTGAAGAATCCCACTTTTTTGGATTTTTTCGCTTGTCTCGGTATCTGAAAAACACATCAAAACAAAAAAAATCACTTGCATAATAATTTACAGCCTCTTTTTTTAAAAAAGAGGGGAGAGTAAATTTTGAAAATGTGCAAGCATAAAAATTTAACTTAAATCTAGACCTTGCTTAAAGGTAAGTCTCATGGCAACTACTGTGCTATATACAAGGCAGAGGTTGATGTTTCAGTATTCATCTAACAGTGTTTCTCTAATACAACGTTTCAAAGCACTTAATATCAGTTAATCCTTACAAGGCAACTATGTGGTAACTAAAAATGTAGGATTATCCTCATTTTACAAACAGCTGGGGAAACTAATGCAGAGAGCGATAAGAAAATCCTGATGAACGTTTAAGGGACCAAAAGGTCTGTGGTAGTCCAACATCAACAGGCAGGTCTACACTACGAGTTAAGTCGATCTAGCTTATGTCGCTATAGGGTGTGAAAAAGACACCCCCTGGAGCAACACAAGTTACAGCGACCCAAGCGCTGTCCACACCAGCACTATGTCAACAGCAGATGCTCTCCCGCTGACATAGCTTCCGCCTCCTGCAGAGGTGGAGTATTATGCCAACGGAAGAGCACTCTCCCATTGTCACAGAGCATCTTCACCAGCCGCACTACAGCTGCATCAGCGCAGCTGTGCTGATGTAGCGCTTCTATTATAGACTGCTCTATGTGACAGTAAACAGGTGGTACACTGAGCTGACCAATCATGGGGCAGGTCCACTTAGTACAGAAATAGAGGTGGAGGAGATGCATTCCTCTTGGGCCAGCAGAGAGCTATGTAGGCAGTGCACAAGTCTGAGAGTGTGGGGAAAGGAGACAGAGAGTTATGCACTCCTTGGTTTCCCACTCTCCATACACACTGGTGTGCTGGGAATTACTGTGCTAAGGCAGCAGTAACACCTCTTCAGCTCCAGTGGCAGGGACAGAAGAAGTGAAACTGGGTTCTCTATGCTGAGTTGGGGATAAAGTGTTTCAAGGGGAACTCCCTACCCCTTCCTTCCAGTTGTCGAGGGACATCTGTATACTGACACGGCCCACTCTCCATCCTTGGATTATAACCTACTTATAGAACTGAAAAACAACAGTAATTCTCATAGGGATTAAAGCAAGAGGTACTACATACTAAGTATGTGTATTTTTTCTACTGTCAAATGTTTTTACATTTCAGATTAACATGAGTGCAATATACATATGATTAGATGGCAATTGTTATTTTGTCATTTTATAAATGCAATGGGACTTCTGTTGTATTTGATCATTCATGCTAAAAGTTACTGCATTCTCTAAGAATGTCAGATCAGATACAGTAATTGATGTTCTTGTGCAAAGCAGAACAAATCCATCTGAACTCAATCTGCTGTTTTAAATCTCTCCCTCTCTCATGGGTGTCTTGCAAATACTACAAGATATGCAACCACAGGTGCAGCTTCTAGCTTTCCCCAAGGGTGCTCAACCCCCGCTCAGCCCCAGGCCCTGCCCCCACTTCATCCCTTCCTCCGCCCCGCCTCTTCCCAGCCAGTTCCACCCCTCCCCCAAGCACCCACCAGCAGCCAAGCTCCCCCCAGTGCCTCCCGCCCACTGGCAGCCCCGCCGATCAACTCCTCCCCTTCCTCCCAGCGCCTCCTGCACACTGCAAAACAGCTGATCTGTGGTGGGCGGGATGCGCTGGGAGGGAGGGGGAGGAGTTGATCGGCGGGGCTGCCAGTGGGCGGGAGGCACTGGGGGGAGCTTGGCTGCTGGTGGGTGCTAAACACCCACTAATTTTTTTCCCTGGGTGCTCCAGGGCTGGAGTACCCATGGAATCAGCGCCTATGTATGCAACATTCTCACATTGCTTCAAAATAGACCCCTGAACTTGTCAGTAACAGGGGAAACTGGAAGTTGGATATGAGGTATAAACCACTCTTGTTACTAAGGGCACGTCTACACTGTAATTGAAGGTGTGACTACAGCACATGTAGACATACCCAAGCTAGCTTTAATCTAACTAGCATGACTAAAATTAGCAGTGAAGCTGTGGTATCACAAGTAGCTACCTGAGTAAATAGCAGGGCACCAGGTAGGCATGCACCGTCCGTGCTGAAACCTGTGGTGCCACATCTTCACTGCTATTGGTACACTGAGCTAACTAAATTAAAGCTAGCTCAGGTATGCCTACACAGGCTGCAATCACACACCCTGAATGCAGTGTAAACATACTTCGAGTATAGGACACTTAGTTGAGGAGAGAATTAACTAAACACCATCAGTTGCAATTCTCCCCCCACCCCCCATCACCCTCCACAGTGGCTGCTGCAAGTAAAGCCATGGAAGAGATCCTAAATAAGTGAGGCAGGATAGAAATAATAACAACAACTGTACTCTGCTTTTACATAGTGCCTTCCAAATCAGGATCTCAGATTGATGGGTGGTATTATCCTTAGATAGGGAAAGTGAGGGCCATGAATCTTAAGTAGAGCTGGTCAGAAAACAAGTCAAATTTTTCATGAAAACTTTGGGCTTTTCCCCCCCCAAACCAAAAGGTGCTCCACAGACCATAAATTGGTAACCTCTTGGTTACAGAACGTGGCTGGGAAAGAAAAACCTTGGGTTTGAATTTTGTCTCTGTCACTGACATGCTATGTATGATATTGGAGAATGTGAGGCAAAGAGTGACTTCTCATCTATAAAATGGTGATAACATCTGATTATTACTGAACAGGGATTAATTAACTAATATGTATACAGCACTTTCAGCAGCAACACATGACATAAGTGCTAATTATTATTAATCTATTTACAGGCTTACACGTTAGTTGTGAGTTTTCAGATATGCTGAGGAACCTTATGTCATCACAAGGGAATGTTAATGATCCATTTGGAAGATGTTACAAACAGACCAATTCTGCACACACTTTGCAGGTAAGTTCTTGAACGGATGCACGGATGCAAGAGATGACACACACACACACCACACACACATGATAAAAGGAGTTCCAGATAGTAGTTTCATTTGTATCCATGGGATAACAGACCCATTTGATTTCAGCTGCTAAAGTACAGTAAAACATATCTGGAAATGTGGAGTTCTACTGATCTGTACAATGTGAGCCACAATTAGTAGGCAGGAGGCACTAATGTGGTTTCACCTGACACATTGCTGAGATCTACAGTATCCAGTCTTATTTTTATGGCCTTCCGTTTGATGGACTCGTTACTGTGCAATGCATAAATTACATAAATAGAATAAAATACGTCCTGCGACCTGCAAGAAGTGGGGGAAATAAAATTAAATGGTGCTCCAGGCAAGTTGTGTGCAGCAAATACGCTCTGATTTTTTTGATTGAGATAAGCAAGTGAGTGCCAATAAAAATACACTCCTCAGCTTACTAGACTTCTGCTGGAAATCTGAATATCAGCTGCAGAGAATGCAAACAGAACTAGCACATTGGTCCTTCTCTTGCTATGGAGCATTATTGAAGCCACCACTGCATCTCCTCCCCCTTTCAAAAACAAAAAACACCAAACAAAATGCCTTCATCCCCCCGCCCCCCCGCCCGACATGCACTGGCTCCCATGACCCAGGTAAAGTACTGACACTAGGATTTCTCAAGCACAAAGGCAACAGTAGGAGCTAGTTACCATGCCCAGAAGCACTTCCAAGCTATCAGGAGGCATGGCCATGCCTACCATTCCACCCCAACTTGCTAGTACCTGACAGCAAGTGCTGTGGAAAATGCATGCTCTACTTTCACCACCAAGCGGAAGGAAGGCTATACAACACACACGACTTACACCACTCCCTGTGGCACTCGGCCTGCAGCTGCCCTGTGCATATAGAAAGCCACAGAGCATCTCCACTCATCCACTGCAGCTCTGAGCAGACCCCACCCTCAGTGCTCCTCATAATTTAGCCCATTGTGCAGAGTATATCAACTCATCTGAAGACAAGTAGAGTTCACTGTATTGGGACAGTATACTTTAAGCAGAAAACATATTGATCTAGAAAAAAGGCAGACATGTTTATTGTGCACCCCCTGTATAAGGAGTCCCCAAATGGTAGGTACTAGTCAAATGCACATCACTGCAGCATCACGCACATACCTCTAGAGTAAAGAGTCCTTTTTGCACCTTCATAATAAGCTCAGTTTTTCAGAGGTTTAGAGTTCATCAGGTTCACGTTCTAATATAAACATTTAGGGGAAACTATCAATGGACTGTGGCAAGGGACTAATTTTTAAATTGCTTTCTTAAAACATTTGGAATTGGATAGATACTTCAGCTGTTAAAAAAATAACAACTTTTGGTAGGGCTTTGAAATACTATCGGAGATAGTCTGACCTCACGTAAAAAGATGGTTTATTTATAACCCTGAAAATGACTGGTTATTTCTAGTACTCCTACTCCAGGCTTTACTATTCCTTTTGTTATTAAGAAAGAAGGATTTAGCCACATGCAAGTTACAACATGGTCCTGACAGAGAGAAGCCAGGAGGTGCCAATGGAGAAGGTCTCCGATCAGCCCTTACTTGTCTGCTGGGCAAGCTGCCCCACCTCAGAAGAGGCAGCAGCTGGTGGGGGAACGGGCTGTAAATGGCTGTGGGAGAAAGAGACAAGAAGGGCTTTTTTGAAGGGTGGCTTTAGATCGGGGTGGGCAAACTTTTTGGCCCGAGGGCCACATCTGGGTATGGAAATTTTATGGCGGGCCATGAATGCTCACAGTTCCTGGCCAATGGGAGTTGCGGGGGCGGCGCTTGGGGCAGGGACAGCGTGCGGAGCCCCCTGGCTGCCCCTACACATAGGAGCCGGAGTGGGGATATGCCGCTGCTTCCAGGAGCCATGCAGAGCCATGGCACTTGCAGAGCAGGGCAAGCCCCGGACCCTGCTCCCCGTCAGGAGCTCGAGGGCCAGATTAAGATGTCTGACGGGCCGGATGAGGCCCCCAGGCCGTAGTTTGCCCACCCCTGCTTTAGATGCAAGTGTTGGACAGGAGGAGCTGTTAGAGAGGGGAGG